TATCAAAAAGAATGGCTTTCAGTCCCTTCTCAATGCTATATTCACTTAGTTTTGTCTTGTTCAATAGGTATGTGGTTCCTCGAGCGACTCATAAAAAAGTGGACGACACTGTCCTCTTAACCACCAATGTGGTGAAATCCTAGTTTCTCTTTAGGATTGATATTTTTGACCAACTAAATTAGAAATGGTAGAACTTGACGAGCACTACAAAATGATACTATTTGAGACACTGTATCATAGTTGTGAACAAAGTTACAAGCCAAAAAGCTGCAAATGCGGGCCAGGCTGGGCCGGTTTTTTCGGCCCATTTGGTCTGTAACTTTGTTCTCAAACATGACACAGTGTACCAAATAGTATCATTTTGTAGTGCTCGTCAAGTTCTACCATTTCTAATTTAGTTGGTCAAAAATATCAATCCTAAAAGAAACTATGACAGGGCCCGCCACGGCCCGCTTTGGGCCCGTCCGCAAGTATGCTTAATTTTTAGATCTTGTACCAGAAGAGTACTGTGGATGATGACCGTGCTCTTGTTTTTCATTCGTCTCTTATTTTTCTCTTAGAGGAAAGAGCTACAACGGAAACTTACAGTTAAATCAATTTTACTGAACTCACAAGTTTCATACAGTTTCAGGGTGAATACAAAATGTAGAGCGTTTATTATTCTGGACGAAGAGCTGTTGAAGGAACACGTATGTGACAGTATCGGAAGGTCCCACAACGACAACTAATTTCAAAACTTGTTTATTTTCAGGATGTTTTTTTCTCGTTTTCCGTGCGTTTTCAGCCAATCCTTTCACTGATACAAACTTTTATGTTGCGAATTTCTGGAGGAAAAAAACAGAAAAACGACAAAATGCTGTGAAAAATGAGAAAATATATCCGGGAAATAATCATATTCTTACTAGTTAGGTTACGGTAGTAGGCATCTTTGTGGGATCTTACTTCACCAGTGGTTCTTTAACACAGCCTGAGACGGGAGAAATAAATAGCATTTGAAATCAACAGAAACATAAAACAGTAAGAAAGAGCTCAATAATTATAAATTTATTGATATATGTTCAAAAACGAGAATCGACGGTTTTTGGCTTGAGCTGGAAACGGAGAAGACTTCAGTGAATGTGGAGCTATCTGAAAAGAGAACGGTGTTAATACAAAGAAGGTTGTGGATGACAAGAAACATCCAAAAGTTTGCAAAAGATGATGAGAGGTAGCAGAGGAAGAGAGTGTAGCAGATTGGGAGATGCAGAGAAGAAGATTACAGATAAAAGTAAGTCATACCGGAGCGATGCACAGATATTTAAAAAACATCTAGGATCTTTCTCAAAATAAAACTCTTCCTCAAATTCAAACACCTCTCCCTCGATTATCCAAAAAAAATTTTCAATCAACTTTTTCGACCCTGATAAGCATGATCTGTTAAATTCACATTTATTCTGTTTGTAACCATCTGATGGAGTGAAATCATACAATTTTTTTCAACATTTTTAACTGGAAAAACAATCATGAACATTTCAAACCATTTCAAGGACTCTTTTCAAGTTTACCGACCGCAACATACTTTTGAACACTGTTGATCTTTAAACCATCAATTGTTATGACAGGCATTCATCAATAACAAGTTGTGAGTATTTATTTTTAAGTTTTGACCCACAAAAGCAGTCATTGCAGACATCTCTTATCAATTCACTTTTTTTTGAGAATCATGTTCAAATTATTCAAAATTTTGTTCTTTATTCTATGCATCCCACATGGAATCTTTTCATTGAGAGTTCTGTTTTACACTACGGTCTATGGAAAAAGCCATTTGGACTTCGCGGATTCATTGATCAATGTTTTAGTAGAGAAAGGCCATACTGTGGTGAGATAGTGAACGAACAATTCAAACTAAAATGTTCTTAGGATCTTGTAATATAAGGATCAATGACATGGTGATCGGAAACGGCGGAAATCGAGCAGAACGAATCTATTCGATAGATATGAAAAATGGAACTGGATGGGCGAAACGGCCACATCTACAAGACCCATTCAAGGAGCTGGAGTTTTATTATGGAAACTTCAGAGAATGGAATCAAATCGGACATGATATTTGTGAACGTAAGAAAGAAAACAATTGAGAAAAAAAAAATACAGGAATTCCAGACAGCGTCAACGACGACCATCTTCTAGACTTCATAGCTTCAAAAAAATACGATATCGCTATAACCTCTGACTTTGATTTTTGTGCTCTTGGAATCATCTCTCTGTTCAATATACCAGCTCGAGCCACTTCTAATCCTTGTCCAATCACTTCCCTACAAACCATAGTAATTGGAATTCCAAATCCCCCGTCTACAACAATCCGTGAGTTTTGATTTCATATCCTTCAAATCAAAAGTTCCAGCTTCAGCACTATTTCAACCAGCTGATATCACAACTCTTTATGGGAAATTCTGGAATGTTATCAACTGGGCTTATCTTCATTTTATACAGATTCCGGAGATTAAGGCTACACAAGAGCAAATTTTTCGAAAACGTTTTGGAAAAAAGTTCAGCATTGATAGGGCTCTATCGAAAATCGATTTGAGTTTTATAAACTCGAATGAAATAATGGAGAAACCAAGACCTCTTCATCACAGATTCCAACTCATTGGTGGAATAAATCTTCGGTCTCCAAAACCATTGAATGAGAATTTGGAATCTATTTTGTCAAAATCTCGCAACGGAACAATTCTATTCAGTTTTGGAACACAAGTTGCTGGTGATGTATATCCAAGATATGCGGTCAAAAATTTTGTGAAGGTTTTCAAAAAGTTCCCAGGATACACATTCCTTTGGAAGTATGAGATAAAACATGGCGAGGAGAGAATGTTTGAGGAAGCTAAGAACGTTGTTGTAATGGATTGGCTACCACAAACAGATTTACTGAGTAAGTGATTCACAAAATTTCACTGATGATCATCTTAGCAGCAAGTTTCAGATGATGCACGTGTCGTGGGATTCATATCCCATCTTGGTCTAAACTCCTTTAATGAAGTATCGTATGCTGGCAAACCGATCATTTCGATTCCTCTTTTTGCTGATCAGCCTCATAACACTGATAACGGTGAGTTCAAAAACCTGATTGAGGGTGTTTTCAACTCAAAGTTTGAGTCTCAAACTTACTTCCTGTTTTCAGGTGTGCACCGAGGAACAACAGTCCGACTGGACAAGACTCAATTAACCGAGGAAAGCATTGAAAAGGCATTGAGAGCCATTCTGTTTGATTCGAGGTAATCCGTTCTTTTGATCTTCTCAATTTCATTTTTATATTCTTCTCAGCTATCGCCGCAACGCAAAAATGCTCCAAAAGATGCTCAATGAGAAGCCGGAGACTCCCAAAGAGAGGTTCACGAAATGGGTTGAGTTCGCTGCTGCTAACCCAGGACTTCACAAAGTCTTCAAACTTCCTGGCGTCGAAATGGGAATGTTGGAATATTTTTGTATTGATGCAATTCTTTATGTGATGGCACTTTTCTTGGTTTACTCTTTGCTTATGTTTATTTTGTTCAGAAGGCTTTATAGTCTGCTCCGGAAGAAATTTGAATTGATGATAATCAAGAAAATAAAGATAAACTAATATCGTAGAACCTGTAATAGAAGGCCGACCACACTGTAAAGTTTGAGCTCAACTATCTCAATTCAAAAAATTGGATATCAAAAAATATATAAAAATGCAAGATACCAAAAATGTGTCAACGAACAAAATACTTATGATAATATGATAAAAAATTATCTGTTAACATTTTTTTATATCTTTGACAAAAAGCAAGATAAATTGGCTCAATGTTAAAAGTTAGGAGACCTTCTATTACATGCTTTAAAATTTTTCGTCCAGATTTAGGCAGTTCATCAATTTTTTATTCGTCAGGTTTTTTTCCCAGAAACTACATTAAATTTTGATGTTTAGATGTTTCTGCCGCTGTTTTCGACTTATGGGGGTACGACGAATTCGAACGTTTTCAAAATCGAACAGACCTAAAATCGAACTGATTCAATTCAGAACAGTCCTTTTCTCGCACACGTACCAGAACAGAACGCGGACAGAATCGAACTGTTACAAGTTCGAACTGGTAAGGGGTCGAACAGTCCCAAATTGGAACTCTGTTTTGTGTGTGCTTTCATGCGCGCTCTGTTGCAGGCAGCGTTCCAATTTGGGACAGGTCTGTTCGATTTTGAAAACGTTCGAATTCGTCGTACCCCCCGACATAGATTTACTTTATTTTCCGAAAAATTGCTTGAACGATCTATAATGAAAATTTCAAGCAATATATAGAATCTCGTTATGCAGCAAGCCAGACTCTAAACGACATTAATGTAACTAATCTTATTTGATTGCGAGCAATAACAGCATCACTAATATTACCTCGGTTCTTTCTTGCCCCATGGAATTTAGTCAAGAATTCGAAGAAGTTGTGTAAGCTGTGTTATAACTTTTCTTCAAACAGACGGGATGTATCTTTGAAATCAAACATGTCTGATTCCAACTATGGTATCTTTGAAATCAAGTCAAACAAAGGACATGTAATAATTGGGGCAATCTATAGTGTCTTATCGATTTTAGTATTTCCTGTATACATTCCCGTTATCTATATGAGTTAAACATTACTTTCTGAAGATATCGGAGATGTTTCAGACATTACGGTCAATAAAAAAGCTGAATAAGAGTATATCCTACAAACTTACGAACATGCTTAATCTATGCGATATTATACAATCTGCCGTTCAGGCCTCCGCAGGAATCTATATAATTTTCCCATTTCTAGCTAAAAAAGTTGACCCGCTCGTTAGAGTGAGCATCTGTTTTTCAAGTTTTAAGTATTTCTAAAGTCTGTTTTCAGATTATGGGATATACAGCGAATACGACATGGATGGCATCTTTTGTCATCATTGCAGTTTTGTCTATAACCCGCCTTGCTGTAACATTTTTTCATAACAAAGCCTGGCAGTACGACACGAGTGTGGTGTTTACAGATATTCTGACTCCTTTGGAGCTTTACGTTGCTTTTCCAATTATGCTTCTTAATTTTGGATCATATTTATTGATTCTGGGAAAAATCTATAGGTGAACGAAGTTTACAAGTTTTTGTTTTTGTTCTAATGCAGCATGCTTTAGACAAAAACGCACAATCTCAAAACTTAATTTCTCCCCTGATGGAAATAGGAATTCTTCCACAAGCATTTGTACTTACGTTATACATGGCTATTATGATGGCTCTCTGGCATAATGCAGGTAGCCGAAAACAAGAAAAAAACGGTTGTAATTTATGAACACTTTCAGAATCTTGTTTTAGAATGACCGACATCACTTTGGATGTGCTCAACGGTTTCTGGGTTTGCTTTTCCACACCTGAACGCATTTCTTCTCGTTGCCACAAATAGGTTTGCGTTTGCAGATTAGAATTTGAAGATTTAAAATTTTTCAGAAGTGTTCGATATCGATTACTGACGATTTTCCGTAAATCCCCATCGGTTACAATAGTTGGAGCTTCATCATCAACAAAAGATTCAGGCAACAGGAGGAGATCAACTGCTGTGATCATATGATTGTGCTACATCAAAATTCACTGGATGGCCTCATAACAAAGAATTATAGAGCAATTATTGAGACACGATTTCACGAATGAAGTCTTTAAGAAATTTTTTCATCGATTTGAACAGTTCTAAAAAATGATTTTGAGTTATCTGAATTTTCATTTGATGTCCATACAAAAGACCACAGCAACGTCATGCCATTTTTATTGTTGGAGTTCCGCAGTTTCTGTAAACTTCGGTGTGTTGATAGAATTTGTCACTCTTAGTTTTAAATACTGCACAATATTTTGTTAATTATTATCGAAAAAGTTAAAATTCTTGTCACATTTTTTTCCCTTTGAATACAACAATTTTTGTGACCAACGAAGTTGGTAGAAAACTTAAAGATCTCACCTCGTGTGTTGAAAATCCTTGTCAAGTTTTCTAGATTGGTAATTATCTGGTTCAAATGTTTCGAAATTCGTCATGTGTATTCTTGCTCCAAAAAAGTTGTTAGGTGTAATTATTGACGAAATCGGCAAGAAAAGTGTAGTTTCGTACTTAAATACACGATTTTCATGTTAGCTTGATCAAAACCCAACGATTTATATTTTCAAAAGATTATTGAAACAAAAACAGTTGAATTCCACAACAAACGCTTTATTTGTTGGACTTCATGGGTCTAGGCCAATTTTATGACATACTGGGAGATTCGGAATCTGACGAATTCAGAAAAAATGTCTCAAAATTCTGTTCTTAACCCTGATCGAGAATTACTAGTGATTGGAATCATCTATACCGTACTCTCGGCTATAGTGTTCCCAGTCTATGTACTAATAATTCATGTAAGTCTTTAAAAAAAACATTTCGAACTTAAATCTGTGATCTTAGGCTCTTCATTCAAGACACGATCTTCGCGAGAATATATCTTACAAACTGATAAATCTGCTCAACTATTGCGATGTGTCTCAAGCCTTCTGCCATTTACTAACTGGAATTTTTCTGATTTTTCCGGTGTTCATTTCAAAAGTCGATTTCTTTGTTAGAGTAAGTTTAAAGGTGGAGGGACATGAAAAAATAATGTTCTCGATATTCCGTTCAAAGATGCCTCTCGAGGAGTTGAACTTGTGAGGGCGATGATTGAGGGTGCGGCGCCGCTACCGACTGAGCCACGCGGGCAAAGAGAAAGCCGATTGCATACATAAAGGCGAGGACGACAGCTGTACGCAGAGTGACATTAAGCGTTGTACACCGTGACGGTAGAATGCATACTCTAGCTACAAAAAAACTACGAAAAATCTCCCGTCCCCCCACCTTTAAAGTAGTATGAGATACTTTTACCATGCAAGTAACAGATTGTGGGATGCACGCCAATACTCTTTGGCTAGCAACGTTTGCCATTATGACTATTTTATCGAGCACAAGAATCGGAATAGCTTTCTTCAAAATAAAACACAACAAGTGGTCGCCATGGATGATCGTGAGTTTTCCGATTTGTTCTTGTTTTCAGTGACCCAATTTCAGATATCTCTTGTAATCGGCGCTGTCTATATTTTCTTGGTCTGGGCAATCGGTTGTATTACTCAAAATTTCATGCTGACCGGTCCGAATTGGTCTTACGATATGACCGTAAAGTTTGCTGAAACTTTCGCTAATCTAGAACTTGTGCTATGTTTCCCCACTCTGATGCTCAGTTTTTGCTCTTATATTTTGATTATCTACAGCGTTTACAAGGTAACATTTGTCGAATTCAGAATTTAGTCCAAAATAGATATTTAGAAAAGGCGTGTGTCTCCAACGTTGTCTTCCTCTCTACGAATAGAAATCGGAATTCTTATCCAGGCAACGATTCTCACGACTTACATGGCTATTTTGATTACTTTTTGGCATAATGCAGGTGTGTAAAAGTTCATTATTTTAGTACGCCGGTCTCAGCGAATCACAAATCACAAATCACAGTTTCAAGTACAGTAGCCTCAATAAAAATTTTTTCAGAGTCTTGGTTCAAAATGACCAATTTCACTTTGGCATCTTTCAATTGCGCCTGGATCTTGTTTTCTCATCTTAATTCTTTTCTGCTCATCGCCACAAACCAGTTGGGATTTATTTTTCAAGTTCTCTTATCAAACGTTTCTCATTTCAGAGGGGTTCGAAATCAGATTCTTAAGTCTTTTTGCAAATCAGAACGGTCTTCCATACTTGCTCCTTTGCCACACGTGAGCTCTTGACGATTCTGGTGGAACCTCGAAGCAATCCATGATTCCTTATCTGACACATATTCCGACTTTAATCATGAATTTTAGGCAATTGACCCTATAACATAGAAATTCCATTTAGTCATTTTCTTTCACAGCCAGATTTTTTGTTATATTTTTCGATGTTGATTTTCAATTTCACCTCGTATCTCTTCATTCTGAGAAACATAAATAGTGTAAGATTTTCTGAGATGTAATCAACAACAAGCTATCTAATATTCCGAGAAGAAGAACAGTTCCCAATACTGAAAATCGAGTTCATTGTTCGGTTTACCAGAACGAATGCTTGAAATGACGATGTCATATTAGTCGATTCGTTTTTCTTGACTGCGCAACCTAGAAATTCACAGAAGAGTCAATAATAATGAATTGAAATGCCGTCGTTGAAGAAATAAGTTCACATATAAATTTCTCAAAAGAGTCCTAACGTTACAGGGAATACTAGAAATAATTTCGAGGTCCTCAGAAGCTTCAGAACCAGATGGAACAAGCTCTAAAGTTATTCATCGCATCTCTCAAAAGCTTCGAAGTTTTGAGTATTTCTTCAAGTTCTCAGATATTCAAATTTTTGACAGAGACGATGACACATATTTCTGAAAACGGACGACATATCACTAATGGTGTCCCTTTTGAAAGTTGTGTTTTCTCACGGAAGATTTTTCAGACTAAAGTCCGAAGAGTCCTTTGTGACTTTGTGAGACTTTCTCCTAGATTTTCCCATATCCATTTGATCTCAAATCACGAGACACGCCTCACTTGAGAAATACAGCAGTTTTTTTTGGCATTCCTTGGGTTTTCGAATCTGACGAGTCCAAAAAAAATGCCTCAAGATTCTGTTATTAACCCTGATCGAGAATTACTCGTGATTGGAATCATCTATACCGTACTCTCGGCTATAGTGTTCCCAGTCTATGTACTAATAATTCATGTAAGTCTTAAAAAAAACAATTCGAACTTAAATCTGTGATCTTAGGCTCTTCATTCAAGACACGATCTTCGCGAGAATATATCTTACAAACTGATAAATCTGCTCAACTATTGCGATGTGTCTCAAGCCTTCTGCCATTTCCTAACTGGAATTTTTCTGATTTTTCCGGTGTTCATTTCAAAAGTCGATTTCTTTGTTAGAGTGAGTTTGAAGTACATAGTTTGAGATATTCTTAAAGTGCAAGTGACAGATTGTTGGATGCACAGCTAACACTCTTTGGCTAGCAACGTTTGTGATTATGGCTATTTTATCGACCACGAGAATCGGAATCGCTTTCTTTAAAACCAAACCAACCAAATGGTCGCCATGGATGATTGTAAGTCTTCCGTTGTGTTATCACTAAATTTTTCAGTTATCTAACTTTAGATTTCTCTTGTAATCGGTTGTGTCTATATCTTTCTGGTATGGGTCATCGGTTGTATTACTCAGAACTTCATGTTGACTGGTCCCAATTGGTCTTACGACATGACCGTAAAATTCGCTGAGCTTTTTGCTGACCTAGAACTTGCCCTATGCTTCCCAACTCTTATGCTCAGTTTCTGTTCTTATATTTTGATTATCTACAGTATCTACAAGGTAAAATTTATCGAATCCAGCCTATTTTAAACTAGATATTCAGAAAAGGCGTGTGTCGCAAACATTGTCGTCCTCTCTACGGACAGAAATAGGAATTCTTGTCCAGGCAACGATTCTCACGACTTACATGGCTCTTTTGATTACTTTTTGGCACAATGCAGGTGTGTGAAAAATGTATTGTTTATTTTGGTACATAGTGCCACCCTCAGAACATCAAAAATCACAAATGCATTTCTGTTACAGTAACCTCAAAACATTATATTTTCAGAATCTTGGTTCAAAATGACCAATTTCACTTTGGCAGCTCTAAATTGTGTATGGATCTTGTTTTCTCATCTCAACTCTGTTTTGCTCATCGCCACGAACAAGTGGGAATTTATTTCAAACTTCCTGATCCAACTTTTTCATTTCAGAGGAGTTCGAAATCAGATTCTCAAGATTTTCTGCAAATCAGAACGGTCTAGACATACTTCCAGACTTGCTCCTTTGTCACACGTGAGCTCTGCAATGATGGTGGAAACTCGAAGCAATGTATGATTCATTTTCTGACTCATATTCAGAGTTTGATTAAGAATTTTCTAAAATGAATTAATTCTCCTACATTGGGTTTTGATCATACTGAACGAGAACTGTAGTTGCTCTAAAGCACAATGATCAATTATTTTCTAACCAAGCTCTATTAATATTTGCATCAAAAATTGTCTCGGCGCACAGACAATGACACCACTATTGACGGAAACTGCAGAAAATTGCATGCCAAAGACCTCATTCTCGTTTACTCAAGTGTTTTAAAAGTTTTCCATTATGCTCTGCACCAGTACTGAACGCTGCTTTTTTTTACAAAGGAATGTTTACTCGCGCATGCGGAAAAAGAGTGCGGAAGACATTAGAGCGCAAGAGACAATTTGGTATAAAAGAGAACTTCGGAGTCTTCTTATCATCCGACTTTCTTCGGTTCGAGCTATTTCTGAAATGCGCTTTACTTCACTCGCCGTTGCCTTCCTTGCATGTGCCTTCGTGGTATCTGGAAGTGTGATCCGTGAAAAGAGACAGTGTGGATGTGCTAAGCCACAGCAGAGCCAGTGCTCATGCCAACAAGTTCAACAGACTCACTCTTGCTCATGCCAATCTGCTCCAGTCCAACAACAAGCCCCATCCTGCTCTTGCGCTCAGCCACAACAAACCCAAACTGTTCAGGTAAAATTTTATCATTGTGATTTAGTTTTCAAAGTCGTATTTTAGGTTCAAGCTACTCAATGCGCTCCAGCCTGCCGACAGAGCTGCACACAACAGTGCCAGTCCTCCCCATCGGTGTCCCAATGCCAACCACAATGCCAACAACAATGCAATGTTGCCTGTGATGCTCCATCCACCACCACCCAAGCTCCACAAGTGATCCAAATCCAACTCGAGATCCAACAAGCTCAAGCTCAATGCCAGCCACAATGCCAACAACAGTGCCAGTCATCGTGTGTCCAACAACAACAATCATCCAACCAATGCGACTCTGCCTGTAACACCCAATGCTCCAACATCTGCCAACAAACCGCCCAGGCCACCCAACAAGTCGTCTACAACACCAACCAAAACACCAACACCCAGATGTATGATCCATACAACAACCAAGGATCCAACAACTGCGCTCCAGCTTGCCAGCCAGCCTGTGATAACTCCTGCACTCAACAAGCTCAACCAATGTACCAACCATACGAAACCACAACTGGAGCTCCAGCCCAAGTCATCCAAATTGTTCTCCAAACCTCTGTTGCGCAATCTGCCCAATGTGCTCCACAATGCGAACAGTCCTGCCAGCAGCAATGTGTTCAACAACAACAGCCAGCTGCTCAATGCCAGACTGCCTGCCAGTCTTCCTGCTCCAACTCCTGCCAAGCTGCTCAACCAGCCACCCAAGCCTGCCAACAGACCCAACAGAACTCGTGCTCCTGCCAAGCCAACTACTCTCCATGCGGAAATGGACAATGCTGCCGCAGAAAGTAAATTAATTTGCTATTACTTTGACATTTTTGTATATGCCGAAACCATTCAGTTTCAATAAATGCCTTACTGTTCTACTTGTTTTATGTTTTTCCATTAAAAGTGATTTTTTGAAAGTCTTTTTTCACTCCTAAATCCAATAGTAGTTATTCCAGAACCTGAATCAGCATACTGTCTGTGAAATCATCTCTCTTCGTAATCTAAAAATTACGAAGAGTATGTGAGCTCATCAATGAATCAAACTGTTGATTTGACCTTATCAGCTGTATTTGAGGAATAATCCGAGCGCAAAAAGGCACTTCGAGCGGCACATTGTCAAGTGATTTTCGCCCGAAGGAAGTAAACATTGTAAACAAAACTAGGAAAAAGATCAAAAAACTAACTAGGATGGAAGTCAACAAATTGGGCTTCCATAAACTCGAAGTGGAAATCATTTGAAATCTGATAGAAACATGAAAGGTGGTTATTTTTGTTGAATAAAACCTGAAACATGACACTTCACTGTTGATTTTTATGAGTGTTCTTATGAAGAATTTCGAAGCTGTATACGAAAAATCAAATGGATAGAAACAAAATAGAAACCTAGAATGAATCAGGATGCCGTTAGTATCAGCCGACCCTTCTATGGTTTTGAGGAACCTCCGGAAAGAGTTTTCGAAACTTTTGCATTACCCTAATACATTAAAGCAATACATACACTTTATTCTGGTTCCTTTTTTTGTGCTAGCTTCCTCTATTCGATTTTTACGTCAATTGGATTCGCTTGCATTTATCAGCTGTTAAAAGTTTCCGTCAGATGTTTTCTCGCATCTTTTTGATCTTTGCCCAATCGGCGGCACTGTTTTGAAGAGTGTGAACAAATAAAACCCACGCGAGAAAAATAATAGGTGGGGAGTTCCTTTTTATTGGAATTCTAGGAAATTGAAACCTGTTGAAATGTGCTTTGATTCGAAGTCATTTAGAGTTTAAAATGATTTATTAATGGAGTTCATGAAAAACAAGGAGGCAAAAACAATAAAGTTTGGGGTCGAAATATACAAAAAAGATTTGTTGAGCAGCGGGGTACCCATAAATCTTCGATCGATCGATTAGGTCCTTCTTACTTTCTGCGGCAGCATTGTCCATTTCCGCATGGAGAGTAGTTGGCTTGGCAGGAGCACGAGTTCTGTTGGGTCTGTTGGCAGGCCTGTGTAGCTGGTTGAGCAGCTTGGCAGGAGTTGGAGCAGGAAGACTGGCATGCAGTCTGGCATTGAGCAGCTGGCTGTTGTTGTTGGACACATTGCTGCTGGCAGGACTGTTCGCATTGTGAAGCACATTGAGCAGATTGAGCAACAGAGGTTTGGAGGACGATCTCAATGACTTGGGCTGGAGCTCCAGTGGTGGTTTCGTATGGTTGGTACATTGGTTGAGCTTGTTGAGTGCAGGAGTTGTCACAGGCTGGCTGGCAAGCTGGAGCGCAGTTGTTGGATCCTTGGTTGTTGTTGTATGGATCGTACATTGGGGCGGCGGTAGATTGAACCTGGTAGGTAGGCTGAGCCTGTTGTTGGTAGACTGGCTGAGCTTGTTGGGAAGTGCAGGAGTTGTCGCAGGCAGGCTGGCAAGCTGGATCACAGTTGTTGGATCCTTGGTTGTTGTATGGGTTGTACATCTGGGTGTTGGTGTTTTGGTTGTAGACGACTTGTTGAGTAGCCTGGGCAGTTTGTTGGCAGATGTTGTAGCATTGTGTGTTACAGGTAGAGTCGCATTGGTTGGATGGTTGTTGTTGTTGGACACATGATGACTGGCACTGTTGTTGGCATTGTGGCTGGCATTGGGCTTGAGCTTGTTGGATCTCGAGTTGGATTTGGATCACTTGTGGAGCCTGGGTGGTGGTGGATGGAGCATCACAAGCAACATTGCATTGCTGCTGGCATTGTGGTTGGCACTGAGCAGCTGGCTGTTGTTGCTGGGTACAGGTGGATTGACATTGTTGCTGGCACACTGGTTGGCACTGTTGGTACTGAACAACTGGAGCCTGGGTGGTGGTAGTGGTGGTTGGTGGGTTGTACATTGGAGCGCATTGGGTTTGGCATTGTTGTTGGCATTGTGGTTGGCATTGGGACACCGATGGGGTGGACTGGCACTGTTGTGTGCAGCTCTGTTGGCAGGCTGGAGCGCATTGAGTAGCTTGAACCTAAAATACGACTTGGAAAACTAAATCACAATGATAAAATTTTACCTGGATAGTTTGGGTTTGTTGTGGTTGAGCGCAAGAGCAGGATGGGGATTGTTGTTGGACTGGAGCAGATTGGCATGAGCAAGATTGAGTCTGTTGAACTTGTTGGCATGAGCACTGGCTCTGCTGTGGCTGAGCACATCCACACTGTCTCTTTTCACGGATCACACTTCCAGATACCACGAGGGTACATACAAGGAAGGCAACGGCGAGTGAAGTATAGCGCATTTTACAAATGGTTCGAACTGAAGAAAGTCGGATGGTAAAACAGTTTCATTCTTCGCTTTTATACTGTGCCAGGGATTCCCCTCTCATCCTCCCACCAGACCTATTACTTATTGATTTCCGCCCTTTCCGCTCTTTTTTCTATCTCCGCGTCTATGTCTCATGCCGGGCAAACTGTTTACCGCAGGAAAAAAAAGTGTTCGGATGGTGAGGCAAGCAGTTGAAAAAAAGGCGCAGTGAGCACTAGAATAAACTAGGAATGCTCTATTCAAATATTACAGAGTGTAAAGGGAAAATGGAAACTGGTAAGTTGAAAACTGGATATTTTATTTTTGATAATCGAATCGGTTTGACGGGTTAGTTATTTTAATTCCTTGTAGCTTCAAAGTATCCGGCCGTACCCCTGGAGCTTAACTTTGAAAGTACGTACATACATGTATTTTGGTTCACAGATTGGATAATAATAAAAGTTTTTTGAAATGTTTCATACTCTCTGATTTCTTACCATTCATTTTAAACTACTCATCCATCCTTCACATGAAGAGTTAGAACCGATTTTTAAAACCCAATCGCAGTGACCACAAAACTGTAATCTAGATGTTTGATAAGCCTTTTAGGTTTTTTAAAAAAGACAAAAAAGAAAATTAATGTCATCATCAAGATATATCCCAAACCTATTTAAGCCAGGGATCTGAGGCCGTTTTCGTGAAATTTACTTTTGTAAATCGTTTACTCTCAAAAAATCAACTGAATTATTTACCAAAAGGTAAATGGAAGCGTGAAAATGTATTGAAAATCTTTTTCCTATTTGTAAATAATTTTCCTGTTTTTTAGATAGGAAAACTACTTTGAAATAGATTTCCTCAATTACTATCAACTGAAATATGCTCATTTTTTGACACATTTCTTTAAATTCAATGCTCTATTCATTTATGTCATTTGCAACAAAAGACATAATTTTCGAGACGAACGAAACGAGATATCTGTTTAAAGTTAGATAATATTGATGTTACAATACTATTCTTCCATAAATAACTTTTTTGGAATGAAAAGTTTCCAAAAAGTGTTTGTAAACAGCAAACGAAATTGGTACCCCTATTTACCAAAAAGAGGAGTATTTATCAAAAAGTAAATGATTTTCCTTTAATTTTCACTTTTTTCAGTTGATTTTTTGAAAGTAAATTATTTACAAAAGTAAATTTCATGAATACGGCCTCTGGAGATGAGATTCTTGTTTTGCTAAAATAAACGTTGTTTTTTTTTTCTGTTTTTAATCGAAAATCTCACAAGTTCATTTTTCTGCGGAAGATTCATCCTGCGAACCGGAGCGACAAAGAAGATAACCGCAAAAACCACATAGATATTCATAAGATGATTGCGCAAGGAACACATTTCAGATGTTGGTGTTTTTCGATCCAAAAGAGTGATATTCAGAATTCCTTGCAATTCCAAAATTTGAAAATTACTTTTGTGTATGCTACTACTTTTGTTGGCTCTTTATGATTCAACGGGGGTCTTAAGAATAGCCCGAAGAATTAACGGAGCTCTCAAAAAGTTTCATGATCATGGTTGAGGATATCCCAAAATAAATCATAAAGTGATGTAGTTCCTTGCTGTCATTCATTTCATTCGATTTAATAATTCGGATCTATCAATTTTTTGAAATCAGTGTTTTTCTTCTTTCTAATTTTTGTAATATTTGTTGATTCCTCTCCAAGCTTTGTTGATCCACATTTGAAACAAAAAAATTATCATAAAGAAAAGCTTCAAGCTAATTTCGTGGCATTTTTTTTATGATACTGAATATCACTGCTCCATGGACCATTTGAGGCTGTTCTTCAAGGTGGAAGGGGAACAAACGAAACGGAATATTCTTTATAAAAGTTAAGTATGTCGCGGCGGAGTCTGTAAGAGTTCCAATCACCTCAATCTGAAAATCTCGGCTATTTATTTTTTTTCAGTCTCATTACATCAAATTGCAATCCCCATTGCTCATTTGAATGATCACAATAAAGTAAAAGTGAAAGGTTTCTGCTTTGTATTGTCTGAATTCTCAATGCCCGGGAATTATACAATCAAAATCATAGCGAACAAGAAATTTCCTCGTGGTTCTAACGAGATTCTCGTTTCCTATTTTCAATTTGAAAATGAAGAATTATTACAAGACGCTTTTCAGGGAAAACGACACGAACTAAAGAGAGAAGCAACTAAATTCAAATCGATTTATTGAAACTGAATGGTTTCGGTATATACAAAAATGTCAAAACAATAGCAAATTAATTTACTTTCTGCGGCAGCATTGTCCATTTCCGCATGGAGAGTAGTTGGCTTGGCAGGAGCACGAGTTCTGTTGGGTCTGTTGGCAGGCTTGGGTGGCTGGTTGAGCAGCTTGGCAGGAGTTGGAGCAGGAAGACTGGCAGGCAGTCTGGCATTGAGCAGCTGGCTGTTGTTGTTGGACACATTGCTGCTGGCAGGACTGTTCGCATTGTGGAGCACATTGGGCAGATTGAGCAACAGAGGTTTGGAGGACAATCTCGATGACTTGGGCCGGAGCTCCAGTGGTGGTTTCGTATGGTTGGTACATTGGTTGAGCTTGTTGAGTGCAGGAGTTATCACAGGCTGGCTGGCAAGCTGGAGCGCAGTTGTTGGATCCTTGGTTGTTGTATGGATCATACATCTGGGTGTTGGTGTTTTGGTTGGTATTGTAGACGACTTCTTGGGTGGCCTGGGCGGTTTGTTGGCAGATGTTGGAGCATTGTGTGTTACAGGCAGAGTCGCATTGGTTGGATGGTTGTTGTTGTTGGACACACGATGACTGGCACTGTTGTTGGCATTGTGGCTGGCATTGGGCTTGAGCTTGTTGGATCTCGAGTTGGATTTGGATCACTTGTGGAGCTTGGGTGGTGGTGGATGGAGCATCACAGGCAACATTGCATTGCTGCTGGCATTGTGGTTGGCATTGAGCGGCTGGCTGTTGTTGCTGGACACAGGTGGATTGACATTGTTGCTGGCACACTGGTTGGCACTGTTGGTACTGAACAACTGGAGCCTGGGTGGTGGTAGTGGTGGTTGGTGGGTTGTACATTGGAGCGCATTGGGTTTGGCATTGTTGTTGGCATTGTGGTTGGCATTGGGACACCGATGGGGAGGACTGGCACTGTTGTGTGCAGCTCTGTTGGCAGGCTGGAGCGCATTGAGTAGCTTGAACCTAAAATACGACTTTGAAAACTAAATCACAATGATAAAATTTTACCTGAACAGTTTGGGTTTGTTGTGGCTGAGCGCAAGAGCAGGATGGGGCTTGTTGTTGGACTGGAGCAGATTGGCACGAGCAAGATTGGGTCTGTTGAACTTGTTGGCATGAGCACTGGCTCTGCTGTGGCTGAGCACATCCACACTGTCTCTTTTCACGAATCACACTTCCAGATACCACGAGGGCACATGCAAGGAAGGCAACGGCGAGTGAAGTAAAGTGCATTTCACAAACAGTTCGAACCGAAGAAAGTCGGATAGTAAAACTACCTTCAACGACACTTTTATAGGAGTTTCCACGGTGCTCAGTAAACCGGTTCTTACTGATTCTCCTCCAGAAATCTCTAATACCCCACCCCTATTGCGCAAAAGCGTTCGTTTAGAGGTGCGTGCTCATTTTGCCGACAACCAAAAACTCCCAGCTCAAGAATAAATTGTAGTGTTGCGCAATCGGCATACAAAAACTCGCGCCGGCCTGTTTGAGTTTGCTCTATGACCTTGTTCTCGCTGAGGTTAACAGCTAGCAACCGGCTTTCGATAAGAGCAAATAAAGAATGGGTATCTATTTCCGGGGGAAATATTCCCAGAAACTTCTTGAGATAAGATAAATTTCAGCTGGAAAATGAGTCAACTAGCTATTTGTCACCAGGAAATATTCTCTCATAAAGAAACTCTGTGATGAAAGCCGTGAATGAAAGTCTTGATTGATTTTCAGAATTTGTCATTATGTGGGTTGTAAAAAACTGACTACAACGAACAAATAAAATTATCAGTCATAAGTATCAAAAGCCTGAACAAAAACCAGGTGTTGGATACTCAACGTATGTAATAACAAAAAGCAAAACGGATGTGGCATAATAGAGGTGTTCACTTGGTCTAGACCTTGAATCAGAAAAAAAAGTTCCGGGATGATTTCTGAAGCCGTTATTGCAGCTATCATGCTTATTGTAAGTTCCAAAATGAGTTCCAAAAAGAGCATACCTGTTATAGTGTTCATCCATTGGGTTTGTTATAAACTGGTCGGTTGTAATAATGATGACAAAAGTGACAAAACTCCAAAAACCATTTGCAATTCTTACTGTAGGTTTGGCAGTTGCCGATGGTGTGTTTTCAACATTGTATTTGTTTTATGCTACTCCAATGGTCTTTCTGTAAGTTTTAGATTCAAGATCTATGAGATAAATACAATCGTTTTAAGCCGGAACCAATTCATGACCACCTGGTCCCATGTATGCGGATATATCCTAATGATCTGTTATGATTCTTCCACTTGTTTTCATTTCTTGATATCTCTCAACCGTTTCTTAGCAGTTTATACACCTGTATTCTACCATCAAGTGTTCAGTATCAGATTTACAAAATATATTGTTCTTGGAACTTATCTTTTATCATTTTCGGTTATTACACTATTCTTTCAGATTTGTAAGTTTCAAGATTAGAATCAGGGATGTTCGGAACGAAATACGGAATTCCGAAAATTTCGAAAACTCCGGCCATTTTCGGAATGAAATTCTGACCGGAATAATTCCGAGGAAAAAATTCGGAATAAAATTCCGGTCGGAATATTTCCGAAAGATTTTTTCGGAATGAAATTCCGACCGGAATTTTTCCGAAGCATTTTTTTCGGAATCAAAATATTTTCGACTACGGGTATGCCAGAAAAAATTTACCTGCATGTCTCGAACAGAATTAATTTCGATATTTTTTTGCGCTGTCCAAATCTTTCATTCAATTTTCGAGAGATTCTTGCGTTTTTGTAATCGGAAAATAAAATATCCACTGTAAAATTCGAATTTTTAAAAATTCCGAAACTTCCGAAATTCCGAAATTTTTTAAATCGGAATTTTGCGAAAGTCCGAAATTCTGAAAAAGTACATTCCGAACACCCCTGAACAGAATTATACAAAACACAAGAAAATTCCAGTGGGATGTGAAAATTATTACAATCCCGAACTCCGCGCATTTCAATATTCCGATGAAGCGATTTGTAAATTCTATGGGGAATTTGGAGACTTTTATCAAGTATTCACATTGACACTTACCAGTACGATTTTGGATTTTCTAGCTATTTCAAAAGTCGTCAAAATCAGATCGGGTGCTGATAGAAACTCAAAAGAGTTAAATTTATTGAAACAGGTGGACTAAAATCGTTTCATTTTGTTCGACTGTTATAATATTTCAGTCCATAAGTCAAACACTTTTTGTATTGGTAACAGTTTGTTCCTTCACTTGGGGACTTCGTTTGTTTCCTGATCCAGACTACACATTTGTATTTTCATCTATTCTGTGGTCATCTGTACATTTTTTTGATGGGTAACTTCTTTAGTTTCAATTTTTCTTAATACCAATGACATGTTTCAGATTTTTCACAATAATTTTCAATTCTGATATTCGAAAGAAAGTTAAACCAGAAAATCTTTCAAAACTATTTGTTAGTGTTGGAAACAAAAACATCGGATGACGGATTGTTCTATTTTGGATTTATAAGATCAGAAATTAAAAAATAGGCTGACAAATAAAATAAAGGTTATCTTGATATTTCTATTCGGTTTGGATCCATTCGTCGCGATTGCTGGGGAAAAAAAAGAATTTCTCTCAAACCTCCAAATAAAATTCATTTGTTAGGGATACTAAAAAAAAAGAAATTGATGAGAGTGGGATTCGAACCCACGCCCCCGGAGGGACTGGTGCCTAAAACCAGCGCCTTAGACCACTCGGCCATCTCACCACGAAAGAAAGCGGCGATTCATTTGGTAATCAGGATACGGCACTTGATAGAAAGTATTGAAACATCGCAAATGTCCTTAATGTCTTCTCACGGTCCAAAATAAGTCTAAAAGTAACATGGAAAAACAATTTTTGCGGTCAAAAAGTTGTCTTTCTTTCTTTCCCAATTTCGAACATGAGCTATGTTTTTCTTATTCCGAATGCAGAAGATAAAGAATAGTCTCGTTTTTTTTTTGTTTTCAGAAATTTAAGTTGTTTATTTTGACCGTTTTTGAGATGCCACACTGTAATTATCGGCAATCGGAGTGCCATGTGGTTGACCTGCTGAGTCACTGGAGCAATATTTCGAAAATCCGCATGATTTATTTAACACCAATTTGCTGATGACGATTCGTCTGCTTTTTATTTTTCGTAAGAAAAATTATAGAAAAAGTTTTTCTGGATTTTTGACTTTGTCAGAATTGGGTCAAAATTAAATTTAGCGAGTACAAATAACAAGTTTATTTAATTGTCGCGGAGGAAGTAATCCAGGTGCATGTTTCTTTGATCACAGCAGGTCAAATATTTCCAATGTTACATTTTCTAACCTGCCTTATCCTCTAGCAATCCTCTAACAATCCTCTGTAAGAACAGTTCTGATGCCAGAAGTATGATGATTAAAATTAACAGATTTGTAAATGATAGTGATTTTCTATCAATCAGTGTACAGCGAGCCATAAAAATCGATATTTTCTGTGAAAAAGGCCCGCCTTTTCGCATATGACAGACTTGATGTTTTCACTATAAAAATGACCATGTCTCATCGCTATTTTTGATCATTAAAGTCCATCTCTGACTTACTGATCAAGCTCGAATAATCTTTTAATACTGATGTGAACCCAAATGGAAGTAATTTATTGTCCATCCTCACTTTTTTTTTATGTTTTGCTCCACTTTACAAACATATGTATAATGAAACCTGATTGTCCTTCAGATAATTCCTGTCAATCATCTAGACAGAAACCAATTACAGAGATCAAAAAACGAAAAGGATTTTGTGACGGAGACCCAGTCTTTTTATCAGATTCAATTGATGGAGTTAGGGGGCAAATTGGAAAACTGCTGATATTAAATACCTCCACCAACTCTGACTGAATTCCCGCTTTTTTCTTGCAATCCTGAATTTTTATTGCTCCGAATCAATCTTAATTTTTCTTAAGCAGATATGAACCGAGAATCGTGGATTGGGTTGTTGATGCTTTTTGTGGGTTGTGAAACAATTTTAAGTTTTTGAAGAAACTAAAATTTCAGTGCTCGTCTGTAGGATTCATCACAAACTGGATGATTGTGGTGCTCATTTATCAGACAACAAAACTAAAACAACCGTTTGCAATTCTTACTGTAGCCCTTGCAGTTATAGATGCCACATTTTCAACTCTCTACTTGTTTTATGCGACCCCAATGGTTTTGTTGTAAGCTCTTGTTTTTTGAAATCTCTATAGTAAGACTTTTTCAGCAACATTTCAATTCTCGAATCCTATTCTGCCGTATGTGGTTTTGTTTTGATGTTATGTTACAATGCCGGAACAATTATCCATTTTGTTATTTCCCTTAACCGATTTCTAGCTGTTTTCACGCCTATTTTGTATCATAAAATATTTAAGTAGGTCCTAAATCAAAAATCACATAGATGACCTATAAACAAATATTTTCAGTGTTTTGTTCACCAAGTACATCACTCTATGTGTTTTAATCTACACTTGCATTATTATCACCTTGTTTTTCGGAATACGTGAGTTTTCGATTTGATCTTTCGGAATCAACTCATCCGAGTTTCAGTGGGATGTGAAAACTACTACAATCCAGCAGTGGTTGCTTTTAGCTATTCAAGACAACCAATTTGTTCAGTTTTTGCATTTTACGGAGATTTTTGTGAGGTTCTTATTCTTACTGTAGTCGGTGCTGCTATGGATTTGATCACGATCTGGAAGGTTCTAAAAATGCGAATTAGAACAGAACGCGGCCAGAAAGATCTGAATTTTTTGAAACAAGTGAGCTTGAAATGAACTAAAAACTTCAAAATAAATACATTTCCAGTCTTTGAGCCAAACATTTTTCGTTCTCACAATTGTGGTCTGTTTCACATGGGGTCCAAAATTGACGACTGGAACCGATGTGACATTTTTGTTCTCTTCTATTCTTTGGTCTGCAGTTCATTGTTTTGACGGGTGAGGAGCGAATCGAAGCGTTTCTCATTATTTTAGTAAATCGGTTTTCAGAGTATTCACCCTAATTTTTAACGGAGAAGTTCGACAGAAACTGAAAACTGGATCTCAAGTTCGATCTTCTTTTGTCAGTGGGGCAAAAAGTTTCTTCTAGATTTGAAAGTTTTTTTTGTTAATTGTTATAATCTTATTTATTTTTCGAAATGAATATTTTTGAACAGAAATGGATTCAGTATTGAAAAAATCCAAGGCGTATTCTACTGATAGCCTTTATTCAAGATGTATCGCAAAACCTGTAATAGAAGGGTCCCCATATGTCATGTTAATGCTCAATTATCTCACTTCCTTTAAAAGATATCGAAAATGTGTCTACTGATAAAAACAACATTTCTGTTATTATGCCAAACATTTTTACAGTAACAACTTTCGTCTATCTTTGACAGGAACCGAGAAAAATTGGCTATAAGTTAAAAGTTAGGGCGCCCTTCTATTACAGGTTTTACGGTATGACTACTACTCAGCACTACAACAGTTCCATCTGGGTTAATTGAATTACTGTGTAACTTCTCATACAGATATTTGTAGCAGAACATTCCCAGAACAGCTTCTCGATATGGTTTGTGAACTGTGAGCATAACTGCACTTGATATTAATCCGTGCATTGCCATCATGTTTAGAGAAATATTGTTGAGTGCTGAAACTTTGATTTTTTGATTATATGAAGTTAAAGTTCCTTACCTTGATCAAAATATGATGCTACAAAAGCAAAAACGATATACCCAATTGGACAAATTACAACAGCTAGAGGAATTGAAATCTGGATAGTAAGAGCAATAAAAAAGTGAAGTTGAAGTTTATAAGTTTTCTGAGATTTCGCTTTTGTACTGGATAGATAAAGAACTATTCGGGTGAAAAAGTAAATACACTCTCCCGTGATTATAAAAGCAGCTGTACCAATTATCCAGGTAAGTAGAGTGATATCCAGAGCATAGACGAAGAAGTCAGGATGGTCAAATATTTCCTGGGGAACGCAAGGAAGCATCTGTAATCTGGTTTTAAAAAATTGGCAGAGACGTGCGAATTGAATCTTACAGCTCTGACATAAAATTTTCCAGTTATTTGCTCTGGAGGTGTAAAAGTTATAGGCAAAATGAAGACAAATGCGTAAATATAATGCCCAATCATATAGAAAAGTCGCTTCTTGACTTTCAGAATACTTGTACCTCTGCCCTTTACCAGAGCATTATATCGACTTTCAAAAAATCCCAAAATTGACACTCCTGCCAAACAAATCGCAGAAATGAACATGTATGCTTGCCATTTTACCGGGACACCTATGTAAGTGTACAGTCCCTGAGAATGTCCAGCAGCAGCAGGTAACAAAAAGAATTGAGTTGATAGAGCACTTAGAAATAAGTCTAGGTATGCTCCGCTGAAAATATGGATGACAAGAAATTGTAATAGACTGTACTCTCTTACCATATATGCATCGTGAACATCATCCATTTCACCGATTCCATTCTAGTCGGTGTTTTGAAAAGTACTACATATCCAGCCAACGAATGAATTGGTACTTCAATAATCGCCAACTTGTGAAGGATAGACGGTGCAAATGTTTCTTGCTCAAAAGTGGAATTCCTCCAGTTGCACATAAACACCACTAAACGAGAACTAACTGATTTATAAGTGAACTAAGTACGCAGGTTGATCATGTTACTTCACCTGTTTCCAGAATCATTGCATGAAATTCATAAGAAGCACGCAATGGACTCGGAAACCTAGAATAGATTGGTGAAGGTGGGACAGATGATTTTTTTGGATTTAGGGTATGTCTTCTGACGTAACGATGTATAATACTTAGTGTTCAGGTACTTCAGCTTAGCTTGCGTGGCTCAGTCGGTAGCGGCGCAGCACCTTCAATACTCGTCCCACAAGTTCAACCCCTCGAGCGTTTTTATGCTCCCCCCCCCCTCTCTTTAAAAAAATCAATACAATTTCGCTTTGCTTCTTCCTACTGTTTTTTTTCCTAATTCTAAATATTTCTTATCTTTTCTTAAGTTCTATTTCTGTACTTTTTTCAATGACTAACACAGTGTTGCAAACATAAATATTTATACATAGATTCAAAATAATTTACAAATTTACATGTTGACAATAGAATGTACAAAAACATTTAGAGAAAGTCATATAGGAGCTTTTTCGTGCTCATTTAATTGCTGTCAGTGGTTGCCTCAAAGACTCCTCCGAATGACGGTTGATCAGAGGAAAGTCCATGGGGTGGTCGGGAGCGTCCCTCGATAAATGAATCTCCAGTGACCAAATCAAATGGTGGGCGAGTGTTATCTCCTCCGAACAGCGGTCTATCAGATGAAAGTCCATGTGGTGGTCTAGAGCGTCCCTGAAATAGTTAGGATAAAGATTGTCGACGAAATTGAAAAAAAAAAACTCACCTCAAAAGATGTCTCTCCAGTGACAAATTTAAATGGTGGACGGGTATTATCACCTCCGAATGGTGGTTGATCAGATGAGAGTCCTTGTTGGGGATGGGAGCGTCCCTGGAATAATTAAGATACTGCTTGCCAATTAAATTGCAAAAAAACTCACTTTGAAAGATGGCTCTCCAGTGACAAATTCAAATGGTGGACGGGTGTTATCACCTCCAAATGGTGGGCGAGAGCGTCCCTCGAAAAGCGGCTCCCCAGTTGCAAAATTAAATGGTGGGCGAGTGTTATCCTGTAGAATCATTGATTGACTTTGTTATCTGACTGTTATGTTCAAAAAACTTACTACTCCGAATGGCGGTTGATCAGATGAGAATCCTAGTGGTGGTCGGGAGCGTCCCTGGAATAATTAAGATAAGGATTGCCGATTAAATTGAGAAAACTCACTTCGAAACCTGGCTCACCGGTGACAAACTCAAATGGTGGGCGAGTGTTATCTCCTCCGAATGGTGGTTGATCAGATGAGAGTTTATGTGGTGGTCGGGAGCGTCCCTGAAATAATTAAGTCCTTTATTTTGGACCCCAGAATTGTCGATGAAATTGAAAAAAAAACTCACTGCGAAAGATGTCTCTCCAGTGAAAAATTCGAATGGTGGGCGAGTATTATCTCCTCCGAATGGTGTTCTATCGGACGAAAGTCCGTGTGGTGGGCGAGAACGTCCTTGAGATGGCTCTCCAGTTGCAAGAATGTGTGGTGGACGGGAATGATCCTGAAAATTACATTGAACAATGTTTATCACATTTTGAAAATCACCTCCTTTCTGAAACTCTGTGGTCCCGTCACAAATTCTTCTGGAGATTCTGAGGTCTCGAACCCAAATTCTCCAGTTGGTTTTGGAGGAGCATCAGTTCTGAACTCTTCTCCAGAAGGTGTTGACAAATTGATTACTGGCGGTGGTGGACTCTTCCTGGGAGCCGCCGAAAGTGCCACGACGAGAAGAGAGAGGAGAAAGAAGGATTGGATAGTTGAAACCATTTGTTCGAAGTGCTGTTCGAATCTGATTTTCCATTGGGGAAGCCCTTTTTTATAGTAGGTCAACAGCTGTGGTTTAGGTGACACCACAACTGATAACGATGTTTTTTATTATTTGTCTCTGGTGACGTAGTAAAAAACATGTAGAGATGTGTGTATGATTATACAAAAAATAGTGATTAATTGTTATTAAGATTTTTGATACTCAAACGGTGTTAACAGAGCATTGCTTGATTGAGCACTAAATGGTTCCTGGTGCCAAAAGTAATCCAAAGGTCAGGTTGAAACTTGAACATTCGTTTTTTGAAACTTGAACACTAGTCTTGAAATTTGAAAGAATATATCATGTGTTTCTAACCTTCCATGTACTCGATTAACGTAAACATTTGACCAAATTTTCTTTGTATCTCCTACACATCACATAACTTGCTAATCATCATAAAATTCATACTCCAGAATCACTCGAATTCCAAGTATCCCCAATCTCATGTCACCAGTTGTTAATCAAATGACAGCGGCCCCCAAACGGAGAGACATAGAGAAGGCTAGCGTCGACGGAGGCCAACTTTTCAGAATTTCAGCTTTAGCTTTTTTGTTTTCCTGGTTTTCACAAATACACGTATTCCATAACAAGACGATGTGCGAGTTCAAAGATTCCGGATTGGGATCACCGCACGTTTTCTCGATGATACTCCATGTTATGACTGCTATCGAAGTTCCGATTCATTTATTCGGAGCATTCGTAATACTCTTTAGGACTCCCGCAAAAATGACATCAGTGAAATGGAGCATGTTCGTACTACACTTTTGGTGAGAATTCCGTTTGTTTTTCAAAAATCGTTGTTTTTTTCCAGGAGCTCTCTTCTTGACATCACCATTTGCTTTCTTGTTATCCCGTATACAGTATTCCCTGTCGCTGGGGGGATCCCTTTGGGTGTATTATCTCTTCTAAATGTGCATCCAATGGTTCAGGCATCTATTCTGATTATTACCGGAGGGCTTACAGGGATTTCAATCCTGGCTTTTTTTGAGAATAGATGTAACTCTATGAAATATGGTCCTTATGCTCAAAGCAAGAAAACTAGAGCGTTGAGATATTTATATTTAGCTGTCAATTATTTGTTAGCTTTTGGGTTCATGGTACCTATTTATTTACAACTTCCCACAAAAGCAGAAGGGGAGAAGTACGCAATGAGGGTGAGTCTGGAACGCCACCACGGAAATAGAATTTCGAAATTAATCTTTTCCGGCTAAAACTGAATCACCCCACAACCAGTACAGTAGTATAAGTAGTAGTAGAATGGGAGGTTCTGCTATTGTTCAAAAAAATAACCTCCGGAGGGCCCTTCTATTCCAGGGAACCTTCAAAAAGAGGGACCCTTATAGTTTTCTGTTATTTTATTTCGAAATAAAAAATGCGGCAATTTTGTTCAAAATTCATGACAATCTACCAATTTTACCAAAATTGAGATTTTGAGCAAAAAATAGCGTTACAACAACTTTCTATGAAATTGTGGAATCTCCAGAAAATCTTGCATCTGATAGTGAAACAACACCTTTTTAAGGGGGTCTTTTGTTTTTCCCAGCCCCTCTTGGAGATACTTTTTATTAGAGGTGTCCTTTTATTAACGAGGCCCGTTTAATACAGTTTTTACGAAATTGGATAATCTGTCTAAATTCAGGTCCTTCCTTGTCTACCATCCCAAGTTTATCAGAATGAAAAATTTTTTGTTGCCTCCACAAATGTCACATTCATATTTTCTATTGTCGGTGGTCTTACTGTATTTGTCACTGCTCAAATTCTCTATCTTGTCATTTATTCTGTGATCGAGCTTCGTAATCGAACCAAAAAACTATCCCGAGTGACATCAACACTCCAAAAACGCTTCTCAATTGCTCTATACATTCAAGTGGCAATCCCAATGATCGCCTATCTATTCCCAATGTTTTATGTGTTTAGCACGTGGACGTTTGATATTTTAAGCCAAACTTGCAACAATCTGGTGTTTATTTGTATCGCTTTACATGGTTTACTGTCAACACTAACAATGATTGCTGTTCATAAACCATATAGGGAAACTCTAAAATTGTTGATGCCAACATGTGAGAAGATCCGGAAGAGATCGAAAGTCAGTGGAGTGAAAGATTTACAACTTTCCGCGATTGTTTGATTTCTGTGATAACTTTTTTCCACTTTCTAGTTGTGTAGCTCGATGTGTGATTTATATTTTCAGCTGGAACTTGTTGTTCTAACTAGTTTTTGTAACAAATATCTGATTTATTCAAAAAACTAACGTTCAAATAAATGGATGAGATCATAATAATATTTGTCGGTTTATAAAAAACATAAATCAAATAATCGAAGTCTCAATGATTTTCCTCTCCACTGAAGAGACCACACTTTGGATGTCTCTATTCAACTTCTTGACAGACTCATTGATGGCATCTGAATCCTCTCCTTCCAACATCTTCACCAATTCCTTCCGATGCTCCATAACACTGTCCAACATATTCTTAATGCTGCGATCGTATTGATTACTAACATACATCCACGCAGTAACATTCTCCACCAAATAGACAGATGTTCCTAGTAAATTTTCAACGACTTCTTTCTCCATAACTCCTTTCCGAATCAGAATGTGTTCTCGATTGACAGCTCGATTACGGAGATTGACGTCATATCGAATATCTCTTGCAGCTTTACAGATCTCAATAACTGATGCTCGGATTCCTGGAATCTTGACGATATCCGTATAAGTTTTGGCTCTTGGCACATAAGGGCTCTTCTTATATTCCTGACCAACTGTGTAATATCCTTTCTGAATATATTTTCTTAGCATTGGATCGTACGGGTAGTAATAGTGTTTCCAGACGGTCCGCATTGTGTTCATATTAACATTAGTCTTGCATCCAGGGCATTCGGTGAACTCTACTGGGAGCAAAACGTTGTAAATCTGCTTGGCACAAGAGCATGTTATTTGCAAGAGAGTCTCTGTTCCAGTTCCTTGCGCATGAGTCATAGCATCTGAAAATGGGGTTTTTGGTTATCAAAGAGAGGATAGATACATTCTTACATCTCAACAACCATTTTTCTTCCCATTCCGAGTAATCTCCACACTTTAATGGCCAGTGAGGGACCCTCTCACAATGTTTGCACCAAGAATACCCGCATGGACACGAGCGATTTTGAGCTTTCTTTTCATTTCCAGGAGGAGTCTCTTGGAAAAACACAGCAGATTTACAGGATGGACACTTCTCAAAATCTCCAGTAGCACCGAGATCTTTGTAAATTATTTCTGATGTTATCTGGAATATTCCTTTCTAAAATTTGAATAGGTTTATGCAAACCAACCCGAATATACAGGTTCACTATGGTGAGTGGGATGAAAGTTGGATAGTATTCCAGCTCATCAGCTGTGTCAGTTTGCAAATCAATCGGAACTCTTCTAGCTCTCAGCTCTCTGTAGAACTCTTCCCGAAGGCAACCTGAGCACTTGTTCGATGACTCATTTCTCATCAGAAACAACTCATGAGATCTCTTTCTCAATCCACAAAAATCGCATCTGCTATCCGAAGTGTATCCAGTTTTAATATTTCTTTCCACTTTCACCATGTCACATAGGTCAGACCATTCCATCATTCCACCAACTTGACTCAATTCTTTGGAGTTCGCCCATGTGGCGTGATAGTGTTGGTTTGGGAATTCCATGTTCACTAGCTGAGAATCCCATTCTTCCGGATCCTGGAGAAGCTCTGATACTGTCTTTCTACCATAAAATAGCGACGAGATTCTCATGGTTCGAAAAAGTGATCCTTAACTGCGGTGGAAAATAAAAATACTCACTCAACAATTTTCCGGTTCGTCAAAATGTCCGAAGTGATTCTGGAAACTGCTTCATGGATAGTGTGAACATATGACAACCTTTTTATCAAATTTTCAGAACCCTTATTAGCTGGATTCATAGCAATGGTAGAGTTGATCAGAATGCTGAAAGATAATAACTTGATTGATTACTCTCACTGAAATAAATGCTTACCTAAACGTCTTCTTTTTCAGATGAGTTATTACAATCACCGTTGTAGTCTCTCCATCTTTCACTCCGCCTTCCAGCTTGCACCATTCAGAAACATCTACTAAATACTGATTTGGTCTCAAATCCTTGACAATCAGCTTTTCATGGCGAAGCAATTCGATTTGATCATCAAAACAGCAATCCAAATTTGGCATAGTGACTTCAATCTCTTCGAACATAGATCCTTCATCTCGTAGGTATTCTTGAATATTCAGAAGATCAGTGTATCCTGGTGCAGGCTCCAAAGCATCCACAAGTTCATAAGAGATTTCCTTCCGTGCACCTTTTCTGGATTTCTGATTGCCATTTTCAATAATACAGCTCACGAGATCCAGAACTGGCTGCTCTGGACGAGAGAACTCTTCCAGTGGGACATCTTCTTCCTCATCCTTAAAGCCTTCTAGATCTTCGTAATCCTCAAGATCCACTTTTTTATTCATTCGATGACGACCGGATTTTGAGACAACTTTAGTTTGGAAAAATTCTCTTCCAACAACTTCTTGGTTTGGATGGGTCCTGTAGATATTGTACGAAACTGTCGGTGAAGACTCTTCCTTTTCTTCTGGCTCTTGATTTTTAATTATTCTGGCGTTCGCCTTCTTACTAAACTCTCTGGATCCAGGAAGAAAGTTCGAATAATGCTGTCCTTTTCCAGATGATGTTGCACTTCTGACCTCAAAATTGCCATGCTCTTTTTGCAGGTCCACTTGTTTCATGTGAACTGCAAATGTTGATTTATCATCACGATAAGCCTCCATCGTATTCTTTTCTACGACTTCTGTTTTCAAATCCTCCGGAGTTGCTCTCATAAGGGATACTGTATCAGCATTTGCCCATCGATTTTTCTTATCCAAAGAATATTTCACATTTAGCTCTAAACCATCGTTCAAGGATCCACAAAGTTTTTTGACAGCGTTCTAAAAATCCAGAATCCTCTATATGCAAAAATAAATCAGCAAACCTTGCTCAATGGCTCAGTGGACGTTAAGGTCTTCTCAATAAATCTTATATCCTTCACTGCATTGTGAAGACGTTCCTTTCCTCGATGATGGTCTCTTCCAAGCCATCGTCTCTCTCCACGTGGCTTCTCGAACATTGACTCATTTTGCAGTTCTTCAGGATCATAGACGTCATATTCAGATGGATCGTATATCGACACCATGTCTTCTTGCTTTGAGCAAGATGAAGATGGTTCCAGAGAAGACGACATGTTCAGTGTGCGGGGAAGCTGAAAACAAATTCAAACAAAAAAAGGAAATTTTCAAAAAAGGAGAGAAAGTTGCCAAGAGCGAGTTTCCATAGAAACTTCAAAAGAGAAAACAAAACCAGACAAATTCGGAGATTCAAAACCTCATAACACACTTATATACTTCCTTCGCGCCGTTCTCTGGCTTGTTGAAGTATTGCACAACTTTGTTCAGCCACCTGCGTATATTCGTATTTTGTTCTCCGAAATCTCGAATTAAGATATTTCGCTGATCGTGAAAAGCAATTTTTTCAAAAAAACCTGACATCATGCTGAGCTCGGTGATCAGATATATTCATGAGTCATTAACGAATTACTCATAAAATTATACATAGTCTTCTGAAAAAGGATAGAGCTCATTGTTAGGTGGAACCGAAATATTGGATTGTTCTCGTTTCACCAAAACCAATGGTTTTGAGATTCTGTGAATCTCTTCTCGCCGCTCTCGAAAATTCATTTTGTTCTGAAATTTATGAACTTCCTTAAAACCTGTATTAGAAGGGCTCCCATACTATTAGGTTAAAACTTAGTTATCTCAATTTATATGCAAGATATCCAAACTGTGTAAACGGACAAAACATACTACTGCGGTTTTCTGAAATTAGTAAAATAAATGTTGTTTTTTTAGTAATTCATGTGTTTGATAACTTCATCGAACATTTCTGAACTAATTATAAATTTAATCCAACTTCACTTGCGAAAAGTCTTGAAATTTGAAATTCTTGAAAATAATTGCAATTATTCGAAATTCGATTGATTTATTCGAAAAAAAAAGTCAAACACAAAAAAATGAATAAAACAGGTAGTAAAGAGAGACATTAAGACTATGACGAATTTTCAGATGCCTCCATTTTCAATACCACAGTGGAGATCACATTGTTAATGCATTTGTGTAGCTTCTCGACACACTCATTGATGGCATCTGAGTCCTCCCCGTTCAAAAGATGCATAAAACTCTTCCGATGTTCCATAACACTTTCCAAGTTTTTCTCGATAGTCCGATCAAATCGCTTAGTGACATACATCCACGCAGTCACATTCTCCACCAAATAGACGGATGTTCCCATTAAATTGTCCACGACTTCTTTCTCCATAACTCCTTTCCGAATCAAAATGTGTTCTCGATTGACGGCTCGATTACGGGAATGCACATCATATCGAATATCTCTTGCAGCTTTGCAAGTCTCCAAAACCGATTCTCGGATCACAGGAATCTTCGTGATATCTGTATAAATAGCAACACGTGGCACAAAAGGAGCCTCATTGAACCCTCGAGCAAGAATGTTGTAGTCAGATTCAACGAGTTTTCGGAATCGAGGAGAGTATGGGAAGTAGTAGTTCTTCCGAAACGTCTTCATTGTTTCTTCGTCAACATGAACCTTGCAACCCGGACATTGGAACCACTCCTGAGAGAGTAGGACATTGAAAATTTTTCGGCCACAGAAACAAGTTATTTGCAGGAGATTCGTTTTTCCAGATCCTTGAGCGACAGTCATTGCATCTGTAATTTTCATTTTCATTTTCAGCCATAAAGAAAAGAACCATTACATCTCAACAACCACTTTTCCTGCCATTCAGCATAATCTCCGCATTTCATCGGCCAGTGTGGAGCTTTTTCGCAGTGTCTGCACCAAGAATACCCGCATGGACAGGAACGGTTTTGAAATTTAGCTGCAGAGTTTCCAGAAGGGATATTCTCCAAAAATACGGTAGATTTGCAGGATGGGCATTTCCTGAAATCTCCAGTAGCTCCGAGATCTTTGTAAATTGTTTCCGAGACCATCTGAAAGTTACAATGTAGGAAAACACTACAGATCGACACTTACTCTAATATACAAATTTACAATTGTCAAGGGGATAAATGTTGGAAGAAGTTCTAATTCATCCGCAGATTGGATTTGCAAATCAATTGGAATTTGTTTAGCACTCAGCTCTCTGTAGAACTCTTCTCGAAGACATTCTGTACATTTCATCCTTGTCTCATCGTTCACCAGAAACAGTTCATGAGCTCTCTTTTCTCGGCTACACAATCCACAGACACCTTCAGAAGCATAAACGGTTTGGGAAGTTCCCTCTTTTCTAACCATTGCGCATAGATCATCCCATTCCAGTTTTCCTCCAATTTGACTTAATTCTTCAGAATTCGCCCACGTGGCATGATAATGCTGGTTTGGCCAATCCATGTTCACCAGCTGATTTTCCCATTCGGAACTGTCATGAATTAGTTCAGGCACAGTTTTTGTTTCGTAAAATTCAGACGCCAATTTCATCGTTCTAAAACAGTAAACATTGTTCTTCAATTTTTGAAACTCAAAACCTTACTCAATAACTTTCCGATGAGTGATTAGTTCAGTTGTAATTCTCGTAACCGCTTCGCGAATAGTCATCGCACTTGATATCTGCCTTTTCAAATAATCGGATCCTCTTTTCGAAGGATGGCAAGGAAGAGTAGAGTTGACAAGAACACTGAAACAGTTTTAATTGAATATGCTTTCAAGTTTCCAACTCACTTGTAAACATTCTTCTTCAGATGAGTGATCACGATTACTGTGGTTGTCTCTCCATCCTTGACTTCTCCGTCTAGTTGACACCATCTTGACGCATCCAGAAGGTATTGTTTTGGGCGCAACTGTTTGATAATTAATTTGTCTTCCTCATGAAGTTCCTTCATTTGTTGTTCAATGTTGTCCTTCTGGTTATGAAAAGTAACATCAGCATTTTCAAACATGTATCCTTCCTTTCTTAGATAATTGTAGATGTCAAGAAGGTTAGAATACTCAATTTCCTGTTCCAAAGCTTGCACGAAGTCATAGGAGAGCTCACTATCCTTGCGGTTGCTTTTCCTAGATTGCTTTTCAGCGCGGTTTCCAACTGTCAAACTTGCCAAATTCAAAACGGCATCTGATGGACGAATCTCTTCATATACATAACCATCTTCATCATCGTTATCGAAATCCTCTTCTTCGTCGTCGTAGATATTCATATCCAATTTCTTATTGGTTCGGTTCAATCCTGACTTCGATACAAGCCTTGATTTGAACATCTGGCCTCCAACAAGTCCTTGGCTCGGATGTGTTTTGTAGATATTGTAGGAAATTGTAGGCTCAGCGACTGGCTCTTTTTTCGAAGGTGGTTCTTTTCTAATTGTCATAGTTCTGGCGTTAGCCTTTTTGCTGAATTCTCTAGTAGCAGGAAGAAAATTTGAATAGTGTTGTCCTTTTCCAGAAGATTTGGCAATTCTGATATCAAAATCTCCTGGTTCTTTGGTTGGATCAATTTGTCTCGAGTGCACTGCTAGAGTAGTTTTCTCCGGATGCATCAACCCAGCAACCTCCAATCCATTCTTCTCCACCACTTCAGCATTCAAATTTTCTGGAGTTGCACCCAAGAAGGATACTGTATTTGTGGTCTCCCATCGGTTTTTCTTATCGAGAGAGTAGATAACATTAAACTCCATCCCATCTCTAGTAGATGCTTTTATCTTTTTTGTAGCATTCTGAAATTGAATCGGTTTTTCAAAAATAAAGATTTCAAAATTACCTTGCTCAAAGGTTCTGTCGCTCTGACTGTTTTTTCGATAAAGGTCCTGTCCTTCACTGCATTGTGAAGACGTTCCTTTCCTCGATGATGTTCTTTTCCAAGCCATCGTCTCTCTCCACGTGGCTTCTCGAACATTGACTCGTTTTGCAGTTCTTCATGGTCGACTGGATCATAGTCGAGGATCCAAGTTTCTGCGCAATTAGATATAGTGTCATCTTGCAAAGAGCAAGATGTAGAGGAGTCCATGATGGTGCAGTTTGAGAAACTGAAAATTGGTTGTGAGGAAGTGTAAATAAGAGGAAGAGCGAAACACCCAAAATAAGTTCAAAGTGACATCATAAAGAAAACCGATGAGAACAATTATCTATCAAAGAGTGTATCATAAAACCTGTTTTAGAACAGCCAACTTTGAGCCAATTTATCTCGGTTAATGTGGAAAAATATCGAGAAGTTGTCAATTGGAAAAACGTTAATTATAATTTCAAGAATATTTATTCAGTTAACCACTTTTCGATATCTTTCACAGGAACCGAGATAAATTGACTCGAAGTTGAAGTAGGGTCGTTCTACAAGAGTGTAACGAGGGTTGTGGAAATTTGGAATTATAGAATTGTGTGATGATAGTGGAAAATTGTTGAAATTCGGGAAAAATTATTTGCAAAAAGTATAGCTAAAAATTGTTGATCTAAACAGCAAGTCCTTTATATACTTCCACCTCTCGTATGTTTTTCCCCTTATGTATTATTGCACAACATTGCACTCGCTGTCTGTGTCTCTTTCTTTTTCTCTGCGTTTCTCTGCCTTACACATTTCATAACTTCGGACTTTGTAGTTAGTATTGAAAACCGAAAAAAACGTATACAACCTTTTCATTCAAACATTTTAGACACATTTTAATTCAAACATTTCAAATTGAGCTCAAATCTTAAATTGTGATTCACGATAGATACTTAAAAACCAACAGAAATTAAAAAATCATTCAAACACTGAATTTGGTAAATCACTTTCCCCAAAATCCATATGGTCGATAGTAGGGCATTCCCATTCCCATCCCATACATTGGATACGGGCGGTACATCATGTAGGGATTGTAGCCGTAGCCATACGAGTAGGGATATCCCATTCCATATCCGTAGCCGAGGTATTGACGTTTTTGGCGGATTCTGTAAATCTTACAAGTCTCAATTTTTCTTGCTAACTTGGGTGAAGTCGTATTTTAGAAATTTTAAAGAATGTGATAACTTACACTTCAGTCCCCTTGTGTCTACTGTCTCCAACTCCAAGTGCAACGTCTACAGCTAGAAGAAGAATCAGAACGAATCCGAGAATTCGAGACATTTACTTTTTTCAAACACAACAACAAAAAAATATTTCAGGTGCAAAAAGAAGATGGCCTTGTCATGCTGCCTCATCCGTTTTTATACCGTCCATGATTACCCCTTGGCAGTCATGCTTTGCTGGCCATGGAATCAACAAGAGGGGTGACTGGTGACCTTTAGGATCGAGAAATTGCAGATGGAGAATTCAAATTCGCCGAAAAATACAAACATAAATCGCCAGCGATTCGGCCAACAAAGACATTAATCTGTAAATGATGGTAAACGGAAGAAGAAGATGATGGAAAAACTATAAAGTTTTTGTGTACAAGTTTTAAAAAAATGATGAAAGACGAAAAAATTATATGAAAGTGTAGTCGGCAAAAACGGCAAAATGATCCGATGGATAATCGTTGTGTTCGTGGAACGGAATTCTTTTTGGTTTTTCGCATCCACTGTAGGCCATGATTTGGTCCGCGACAACGGGTCCTGAATAAATAATCGAAATTTAGGATACCGTATAGGAGCCCATCCAAACCGCCAACGTTAAGCTGAATTATCTTGATTCCTGTGGAAGATATCAACATTTTCAACTAAAAATACATTTTCGATGTTATGATAACCGTTTTGTCAGTTGATTACTTTTTAATATCTTCTGCAGAAAACAAGATATACATATAAGCTCAAAGTTGACGGTCTGGGTGGCACTCTATGAGAGTGTTTACTTTATCTTTGAAACCAACAAAATGATTTCTTTCTAATTTAAAACAAAAAATACACAAAAGTACACAAAATCAAATCTAAAAACCTACATTTTCTAGGTCATGACCAAATTTTTCTAGCTAGGCTTCTATTAGAGGTAATACGATATGTGTGTTCACATTTTTATTACCTTTGTAAAACAAAAAGTCGATTCGATCCTGTGGTTCTGGGATTGTATAATTCCACTCCGGGTTGAATTTGTTCACTGTAGACCACGTTATTCCTGAATCCTTCCAATTCATTTCTATCCTCCCAGTTTTCTCACTCACCTGGATTTGTCAAAACATTGGGATAGATCTCTCTATAAGTATCCGTGAATCCTCGATCCTCTAATTCTTTGGTCGCCGGCCACCTGATCACCCAATCTCCATGAATCTTTTTTGTTTGTTCTGTCCAATCCAAATGTGATGGCCCATTGAAGTCACCTGCGATGAAGATCGGAACGTCATCTGACTTCTCCATCCACTTTTTCATCATTGGCAGAGTCAGAATCTCGTAGATCTGGGGACCACGACCGTATTCTGAAACTATTGATTTGTGGTTTCCAATATTGTTCACATACCCGTATTCTCCCCAGCCAAAATCTGATCAATTCTATTGACTAGTTTATTGTTAGCCGCATACGGTCCATAAGAAGTGTAATCCAGGTGAAGACTCCAAAAATGAACCATGTATCCTGTGCGAAGCATAATCTTCACTCCAACGCCTCCAGATGTCGAGAGGTTTGTGTTGGGGACAATGACGTGGCGAGTAAGAATTGCAGTGTCGGGGTACTCATGGTTTCGTTCTACAGCTACCCACGGATGTCCAAGCATCATGGTTAAGTTTTTCGTCACATTAGCATATGTTTCCTGAATACTGATGAAAATATATTTTCAAATCTCTTAGTCGTGTTTTTTTGGAAGCTCTATAATGAAAAGATGAGAAACTTCTGTTTAAGTAAAGATTGAAATATTTTTGATGTCTGAAAAAAGTCACTATTTTTTTTCGTCAGTTTCAGTTCGAAGTTTTGAAACAAAGTTTGAAACATCCGAACTGTACTTGGATAACCTTTCACAAAAATGTTAAATAGTTGAAGCTCTTTTTTTGTCACCGTATTTTCTCTACTTGAATCTCACCCAACCTGTCAACTTTGAGCCAATTTATCTTCGTTCCTGTAAAAGATATCAAAATTTTGTCAACTAACAAAATATTTTTTTATATTATGATGAACATTTCATTAGTCGACAAGTTTTTGATATCATACACAGGAATCCTGATAATTGAGTTCAAAGTTTACCGTGTGGGTGGGCTGCTATTAGAGATAATACGATAACTGCTTTCTTAAATGTTCCTATTTTCATAAAGAGTAGTAGCTATTTTTCAGGAACCCAAATAGTATAACTTCCAGTGAAATCTTACCTGAAGTGCCACAATATCCGGATTCACCATCAAAATGTGTTTGGCGATTTTCTGCTGACCATTCTCGACATTCTTACCAGATTGCCAAATATTGAATGTCATAAGACGAATACCATTCTGTGATCTCTCGGAACCAGTAAAATAGGTGCTACCAACAAGTTGAAGAAGAATTGACAGAACGACTAGAAACCGTGGCAACATTTAGCCTTCAAATCAGAATCAACAGAAGGATGGAAGAAGAAGAGTTCAAGTGTGAAGGACCACTAGAAGAACAATAAGAAGTGGTGCTAAGGTCTTCAAAAGAACCACATGTCGAGGTGGCAAAGGAGGTAAAAGAGCAATTGGGAGGAAACAAAGGTTGCAAGCAAAAGATAGCGAGAGACGAGTTTTCATCAAATCTCTCTTTTTTCTTTCTCCCAAATGATTGTTGTGTTTGATCGGGGCAAATGTTAGTTGGGCTGTTGGCCCAACACTGTTGGGTCAAGAAGTTATAGGTGTCATGGTTGGTTGAGGCTTTGTTGAAACTCGAATTCCAGTTTTAAGCTTTGTTTGCTAAAAGAAGGCTGAAATGGGAAGGTAAAAGAGTTAAATGGAAAGGGGAAAACATAACTTTATCAACAAGAAAATACACTAGAAATTTCAAATTCACAATTTGACAATCAGTGGAACAGAGGCAAGGAATAGTCAAACTATCATCTGATGCTTTTAGATTCAGTACTCAACTGAATAAAACCACGCAAGTGTCAGTTTTCTAACTCCGACAATGAATAGGAATGCAATAACTATACACTAACTAAGGCCCAGCATAATGGCAAAGAGGTAGCAGAAATACAAAAGGTTGAGATTCAAAGTGTGACTCAATACATGTTAATTGAGGATTTGGGAGTGTTAATTAGATCATCATCAACAAAAGATACAAATAAGAATGTAAATAGACCAGCGATTGCACCGAACATGTGCCAGAGGTCGTGGGATCCAAAGAAATCGAGAAGCAGACATGGTGTGTTCAGTGCTCGGCTCATAGCGGCTGTTCTCTAAAAAATCATAAGATTTTTTAAACAAAACGAGGCACCTCATAAATCTTACCGTCCAATCGGTGTCATCTTGGAAGAAGAAGAATCCAGCAATCAGCCATCCGAATATTGCGGAAACTCCGCACACTTTGGCCTTCAGTTCTATGCTTTCTCGTGATGCGAACTTCATTAAAGCGTAGTAGGTCAGGTACAAGATGCAGTTGAGGATGAAGCAATAAGTAGAGATTTGATTGAGATGAATGTATGAAGAGGTCACATAAATAGTTATAGCGAAGAAGTTAAAAATGGCGAAGGTGCCAACGAAGACTTTATAGACTTGTTTGGATCTCAATGTTTTTCGTTTCGCCAAACAAACTGTCGCCACGACACCAAAATGGATTATTGCGATTAGGTATCGAATTCCGGAAGCTTTTGAACAGGCGGAGATCAGGAAGTTAAGAGAGACAACGCAGAAAAGAAGAATGTTCGTGTAGGCTGGCGATGGAGATTCCTGACGAACGAGCCATTGGCGGATGATCAAAAGACCACAAATGACTTGTATGCAAGGGGTGTCTGTAATTATAGACTAGAAGATTTTTTGAAAGCGTTTTGAAGGCTTACCGAACTGAAAAGCTATATCACTGGGACATATATGATACGTGGCACTGGCAATGGCTTGTAGAATCATGAAAAGTCCAATTGTAATATCCAGAAGTGTGCATTCATAAGTACCAACCAATGGGGAGTGATGCCTCCATCTCCTACACATTGTGACCATTATAAAAACCAGCCCGTATATCGCATAGCCAATGTTACTGATCATATTGTTCCATGATCGAAGCTCTCCGAGAGGTTTCGCACATGCGTTATTATGGAAACACATTTCATCACGATTCGCCATAGTGGATGTTGTAAAGTTATGGAATTCAACTCCTGTGTGCATCAGAACTGGGAGAATGAGGGCTACAGGATACTTGAACATTTGACCATGAAGGGATAGAGAATCTTGTTTGATTGGGATTGGTTCGATTTCTTGCACTTGTAGGTTTTCTTCTTCTGGTATAACCGCGATTTCATTGTGAGCCATATTATTTTCTGCGATCGCAGATGTATTTGCAGATTGGTCAGAAGAAAATGAGATCAAATCCGCCACGAGGTCTGAACGATTCCGTATCACATTAACTGTCAAGCTGGCAATGAATATAAGACAGGGGCTAGCAAAAAATACTAGCATGGCAAGAGTCGGAACGAAATAGGAATTCGGTTCCAGTCTCGTAAAATCGAATGTTATCTTCTTGATCTCATTGTAATTTTTGCGAGATGTGTTGCCTGAGCACGGAGCATTCACTGGAGAAATGAACACAAATATCCGGAAAGTCTTGAACAGTTGGATCTCGGTTTCAGAGAAAAAAATGTCTGCTCTCCGAGTAAACGTTAGCACACGTCGATTGTCAGCCCTGTCGGAGTCGACCGGACGTTCGTAAATGGATTCCTGAAAAGAACGTTGAACATTTCTAAACGCTCAAAAAGAAGCATACATTTGCCGGAGCCGTAATAACGTTTGCACAAATATCATCGGCACTAGTTAATGTGATATGGAATGACTTAACAATCTGCTCTTCAGTATCTAGGAAGAATCCAATGGGCTTCACAAATGTGAGCTTCTGATTGTTAAGTGTCTTCGTTGATTGCCCTTCCTTGAAACTTAAATTGTACTGAGACCTATCCAATCGAGTCAGGTGCAGTTGATAATCTATATCCACTCTCAGTCTTGATTGAACAGTGATAACAAGGTTTTGAGATAAAGTCGAGTTTTCTGAAGGAACTTTAAATTGGTTAGAAAATGTACTATACTCGTTAACTCACTGTTCTTCTTGCTCCTCTTTGGCCCGAAATCTTCCTTACGCAATGGGTTTAGAAGCTTTCCGTAAGAGTATAAAGTCAAATCCGGATAGATCATAGGCAGTTTTAGTATGAAATTGTCACGTCCATTGGAAACTGTAACTTCTAGAATTGTATCGACTTCTTTCCGAAAAAGAGCTGGTTCGGAGACATCTGCAGAGATTCGGGTCAGATCCAAAATGAAGGTTTCGTCTAGTTTCAGATAATATACATGAACCGTGTTAGCAACAAGTGTATCATTGATTTGTCTGCGGCGCGCTGGAAATTCCCGGACGCTTATCGGACTCGTTTCATTGTTGTCTTGCTCGGAAAGGCTGAAATTTAAACATTCTTATCGAATTTTGGGCTTGAAGACTTACCCAAAACGCCCAAGAAGGAGCAGCAGGACTCCGCTAACAAAGTAGCGGCTGCCAATCATGGAATAGCTGAAAAAATATGAAAAAATAATAATGTATTGTCGGATTAAAAAAAGTGACACCTGAAAATCTCGGAGACGGCGCTCGTGTCGATTTACGAGGGGGCGGAGCGAAAACGGATACTGCAGATAACACATTTATTTATGTGAATTTAGTGGGATTTTGTGAACAAAATTTTGATTTCTTGGTATAAAAATGATCGCTGGCATCTCTAGAATCTATTTTTCAGCAAAAATCTAAACTTAAACGCAAAAGTAGCTTGAACGAGCCGAAATTCTGAAACATTACGTTTTTGCCGCATTTTTCCGTAGATAAAAAAAAGCAAAATTTTTCAAATTCTCAGGTGTCACTTTTTTTAATTCGACAATAAACGAATGCTTTGTTCACTAAAATTGAGATAAGAAAATTTGAATTCAATGAACGGAAATGACGATTACTCAACTAAAAATTTTGAGTTTTCGGGAAAAAAAGTGTTTTCGGAAAAAAAAGAATTTTCGGAAAAAAAAGAATTTTCGGAAAAAAAAGTGAAATTGAAAAAATATTTTTACTTATTATCCTTGTCAGAGAAAAAAAAGGTTGAGTCGAAGTGTATGCGATGTTTGTAAACAAATATCTGAAAGCGTAAACAACCGGAAACAGTTGAAACGAGTGCGACAGTAACCCGGCGGGAAAATATTAAATTTACTCATTTTTTTTAGCTTTTCGCATATTTTGCAGCAAATTTCGTCGAATAT